TTTTTTGTTTTTTTCCGGTTAATGTTAATGTTGCTGAGTGTGATATCCGGCAGGCTTATACGGCGGAGCTTGAAGCAGAACTGCACGAGTTGAGAGAAGAGAATGCACACCTAAAAGAAGCCTTGGTGAGGATGAAGATGTACTTTGTCATGTCCACCAGTGTTTTTATTCATGTCCTTATTATTTCATTGTCATTAGTGCTAATGTCTACGTAACTTCTGTTTCGACTCCTAACAGGATGAGTGCGAAAAGAAATGGAGGCGACAGGTAAAAAGACTCCCTTTTCGGGACTTAATTGTCCGGATTTCGTTATTGTTTTGTACAGAGGTTAATTTAATGAATTTGCAGTGTGAGGAAGCGAGAGTTCAAGCACAGGTCAGAACTAAGGCTCAGACAGTTAACAATAAATTACGGGCCATGCGGGGGAGCTCGAGCTGTCATTACTAAACAAAACTGAAAATCTGTGGGCTTCATATGTTACAAGTTCTTATGAAGATTTAAGAGTTTTTTTTTCCAATCTAATCTAAGCCGTTTGATCGATGCTGGTACGTTTGATCGTGAACGTTCTCGAAACGACAAAGCACAACTATATACTGAGATACATTGCAGGTTGGCCCTTGTTGACAGAGGTTACCTTTGATGATAATAATAGAAAGTACTTGAGAGATTATAACAAATTAGACCAGTCAAATCATGTTCTTGCTTGACCAATGATAGGTGAGAAGGTAAATGGGATGAAAGTCATAAATTGGGACATTTTTGTCAAATAGTCATGAAGGATTTAGTGGACTTTGATATTGTAAGATCTCATTTTATGCAACCCTATCAAAATCTGGTTTGGAAAAATGCATTTTTTTTAAGGATGCAGCATGAAAATATTTAATTGCAATTGAAAAGTATAATACACATACAGGCCAGTTTAAATAAAAACTAAGTCTGGCGTGAGAACCGTGAGAATCATATTTGATGCTATTTTTAACTCTGTGTGTGATGCTATTTTTAATATTGCACGGTGCTATCATTTTCGTAAATGCTAAATAAAAATTTTATTGTTATTTTTTAACAGAACACATCATAGTTACAAATAGCACTAAAATACAATCAATCATAACACTACTTATACAACTAAAAATAACAGTCTCACGGTTATCACATTCGGACTTGGTTTTCATTTGAACCACCGTTTGGTGTTCCGTAAATTGATCAATCTTCCGGTGTTGATTTCAAAATTCCAACATTATAATGTACTGCTCAGAGCTAAGTTATTTAAAGAAGCACATACAAACATAACCAACACAAAAACAAATAAAAACATACAAGCTAACAAAAGCTAAACAATGATCCTCACACAATAAGCTACATACATCATCTTATTACAGAGGAACAAGGCTATCATAGTACAAGCATGGTTTATTATAGGTCTTCATACCCTTGTAATAATCTACCCTCCTCCAAGTCCCACTCCTTACATTATAACAAATCAAATCCTTCTCACTTATATGCACCAATATTTCCTCAGACTCACCATCACAAGTAGGAATTATAAACTTAGGACACAAAGGGAAAAGATCGACTCTGCATTCAATCCCCCAAACTTCCTTCTCTTTATCGTTCGATGCCCAAATATCGATCGTTTTTGGCTCCTCGGCTGATAATCCCACCACACGTAAATCTCCCATTAGCCCGACACACTCCAAGAAACTGTACTTTCTATTTCCGTGCACCGGATAACAAATGCTGCTAAATTCTTCGTTTTCCAAATTCAGACACAAGATGGACTTATTTTCGCATAAGGACGAAAGCGTCCAATACATAATCCCGTTAGCACAAACGGGATATCCGTCCATCCACCATGCATTATTAGACGGGCAATCCTTAATTGTTCTCCAAGAACCCGATTGCACGTTTTCGCCGCTCTTGAACGAGAAAATCTCACATTTCATTTTATCACCCTTGAACATGTTAACTATCTTGTACTCATTCCTCTTGGGAAGATGGCCGAATCCCAAGTTCTGAAAACGGGCATTATTCGGGCCGGAAGGTACTCGCACGACTCTGTGCATGCTCGGGTTGCATACGTACAAAGAGCGCATGCTGCAAAAGACACTTAGGGGGCCATAAGTGACAAATGAGTTAACCGGGCCATCGATTTTTTCAGTAAATTTATCGGCTATATTGCCCT